CCCGCTGCCCTCGGACCTGGAGACCCCCCCGGAGCTGCGCCTGGACGTGGAGCTGTGCCGGGGTGTCCTGGACGGGCTCGGCCGCTCGGCCACCGGGGTCCTGCCCCAGGCCAGGGGTTGGTGACAGGGGGGACACTGGGGGCGATGGAACTTTGGGGGTGGAAGGGATGGAGGAACTTGGGGATGGAAGGATGGAGAGAATGGGAAAACTCAGGGATGGAAAAGACCTGGATTCAGAAAAAAAAACCCCTGGCTTCAGCAAAAGGCTCAGCCCTGAGGCTGGGATTGGAGGTTCCCCCACCCCTGGAGCCCCCCAAGGCCAGGAATCGGGGCGGGATGTCCCTTTGGGATGGGACCCTTTGGAGGTCCCATCCCACCGTTTTTACAGGATGCAATCCCCACAGGAATGCCGGTGGTCCAAGTGTTCCCGGCGCTGCCGCTGGCGCTGGGCGAGGCCAACACCCTGCTGTGCCTGGTGGAGAACGTCTTCCCGCCGGCCCTGGATGTCACCTGGACCCGGGGGGGTGTCCCCATCACCCGGGGGGTCACCCAGGGGCCCTTCACCCCCACCCCGGAGCTCACCTTCTGGACCTTGTCCCGCCTGGAAGTGACCCCGGAGCGCGGGGACGTCTTCGCCTGCCTGGTGACCCCCCAGGGGGACAACGCCTCCGTGGTCACCTACTGGGGTGAGAGGGTGGCACTGGGAGGGGGGGACACCACGGCATGGGGGGCACTCCGGGGGGGGGCCTGGTTCTGGTCCCAGTCCTGGTTCTTCTGATCCTGGTCGTGGTGCTGGTCCTGGTCCCAGTTCTGCTCGTGGTCCTTGTCCCAGTCCTGGTTCTTCTGGTCCTGATCCTGGTCCCAGTCCCAGTTCTGGTCTTGTTCCCAGTCCTGGTCCCAGTTCTGCTCCTGCTCCCAATCCCAATCCCAACCCCAACGCCGCTGCCTCTCCTGAGCCGTGTCCCATTCCCGCAGTGCCCCCGGAGCCTCCGGAGGTGCCAGAGCTGCCGATGGTGCTTTGTGGGGCCGTGATGGCGCTCGGGGGGGTCCTGGGGCTCCTGGGGCTCTCCCTGCTCCTGCTTTCCCGGACGGATCCCCAAGGTACGTTTTGGGGGATGCCCCGAGGGGAGGGAGGGGCCTCGGGAATGTCCCTGACCCCCCTCTCTGTGTCCCCTCCCACAGGTTGAGCAGAGGACGGAGAAGCTCCACGTGGGAATCTGGGAGGGGGACGAAGAACTGGAATGTTCCCGACCCCCAATTCCCATCATCCCAAATAAACTCTCCCCTTGGTTATGGTTGAGCTCATGTCCTCGTGTGTTCGTCCCGTTCCGAAGCCATTCCTGGACTTTTTCCACTGGGAAAGGCGGGATGTGACCCCTTGGTGGCTGATTTGGGGTTCATTCCATTCCAGAGCCATTCCCAGAGGCTTTCCCAGCTGGAAAAGGTGGCTGATCTTGGGATTTATCCCAAATCCAGAGCTGTTCCCAGAGCTGTGTCCCAGTTTTCCCACTGGGAAACGTGGGATGTGGCCCACTGGTGGCTGATCTTGGGATTTATCCCATTCCAGAGCCATTCCCAGAGTTTTCCCACTGGGAAAGGTGGCAGGTGACCTGCTGGTGGCTTCTCCAGTCCTGATCCTGTTCCTGGTCCCAATCCTGGTTCTGGTCCTAGTCCTGGCTCCAGTCCTGATTCTGATCCTGGTCCCAGTTCTGCTCTTGGTCCGGATCCTGGTCCTTGTCCTGATCCTGATCCTAATCCCACTCCCAGTTCTGCTTCTGTCCCTGATCCTGGTCCCGGTCCTGGTTCTGATCCTGGTCCCAGTTCTGCTCTTGGTCCGGATCCTGGTCCTTGTCCCAGCCCTGATCTTGGTCCTGATCTTGGTATTAGCCCTGGTCCCTAGTCCTGGTCTCAGTCCTTGTCCCAGTCCTGGCCCTGGTCCCAGTCCTGGTCCTGATCCTGGTCCCAGTCCTGGTCCTGATCCCGGTCCCAGTTCTGATCCTGGTCCTACTCCTAGTCCTGCTCCTGGTCCTGATCTTGGTCTTTGTCCCGGTCCTGGTCCTGATCCTGGTCCCAGTCCTGGTCCTGATCCCGGTCCCAGTTCTGATCCTGGTCCTACTCCTAGTCCTGCTCCTGGTCCTGATCTTGGTCTTTGTCCCGGTC